TAATACGAATTAGTCTATTCAGGGAAAATGATATTTAAAGTATACAGTAAACCCTTAATATAACAAACTAATAGGAAGGTTGTCCGAGTGTATGTTCAATCAGAATGATGTTAAAAAACAGCAATAAAATGCAGTAAAGTGCTCTACTGCATACCAAATGTAGCACTGTACATGCAATCTACATACATACTCTAATAAACATTGAAAATAAAGGTGTTCAAAATACAATTTAGCCAATGGATTTTGTCCATAATTTTAAAAGTCCATTATATCAAGGTCTGTTATATTTACTGTATTTAATACTTTACTGTATTTAATATTTATATTTTACAGACCACAAGTCTACAAAATGTGACATACTGTATTTAAGGTTTCAATTACTTTGACGTACAGTGGACCCCCGCATAGCGACCTTAATCCGTGCAAGAGGGCTGGCTGTTATGCGAAATGTTCGGTATGCGAATGAATTTTCCCCATAAGAAATAATGGAAATCAAATTAATGTGTGCAAGACACCCAAAAGTATGAAAAAAAAAATTTTACCACATGAAATATACATTTTCCTACACACAAAGAGAAGGATACATGCACAATAGTAGAGTAGTACATGCACAATATATATTGTGCATGTACTACTCTACTAAATGAAGAATAAATGACACTTACCTTTATTGAAGAAGCAGCAATGACTGATGAGACACTGTGTCCTGGGAGTGCCTTTTCCTCCTGAGTACTGTAGGTCCTGTTTGGTATTTTCTTCCAGAACAGGCCTTATCACACTGTGTATGTCACACGATTCTTAAATCTCTCAAACCAACCTTTGCTGGCTCTAAATTCACCAATATGAGCACTAGTTCCAGGCATTTTCCCTGTTCACCTGGGTGTTAGTCGACTGGTGTGGGTTGCATCCTGGGAGACAAGATTAAGGACCCCAATGGAAATAAGTTAGACAGTCTTCGATGACACTGACTTTTTTTGGGCTATCCTGGGTGGCAAATCCTCTGGGGTTAATTGTTTCTTGGTATTCTCAATAAGCCACACCAACAACGGTGCTACAGCAGCAGCAGCAGCTGACGGTGGTACAGCAGCAACAGACGATGCTACAGCAGCAGCAGACGATGCTACAGCAGCAACTGACGATGTTACAGCAGCAGCAGACGATGCTACAGCAGCAGCAGCAGCAGACGATGCTACAGCAGCAGCAGCAGCTGACGGTGGTACAGCAGCAACAGACGATGCTACAGCAGCAACAGACGATGCTACAGCAGCAGCAGACGATGCTACAGCAGCAGCAGACGATGCTACAGCAGCAGCAGACGAAGCTACAGCAGCAGCAGACGATGCTACAGCAGCAGCAGACGGTACTACAGCAGCAGGAGCAGCTGACGGTGGTACAGCAGCAGCAGCTGACAGTGCAGCAGAAGCTGACAGTGCAGCAGCAGCTGACGGTGGTACAGCAGCAGCAGCAGCTGTACCACCAATAGTAGCGATGGTTTTATTGGGGTTTATTATACAACCTGGCCAGCTCGGAGACACGCACTCCACTTTCATACTTATCAATGATCTTTTTCTTCATCTCCATAGTAATTCTCACCCTTATTGCTGTAGGGTTGGCACTAGAAGCTTTCTTGGGGCCCATGGTCACTTATTTCCAGAAAAAAATCACCAAAAACACTGTAATAATACGAAATGTTCCGATTGTATGCTTGGATGTTACCGCGGAGGCTGGCTGGTAAACAATGCCACCGGCGGAACATGTGAGTGTGGCTCAGGCCGCACATTGGACGCGTCTCGGACGAAGGGCGCTGAGCGGGTTTTTGGGCGGTATGCGAGGCAAAATTTTAGCGATCAAAGCGTCCGGTATGCGGATTGTCCGTTATGCAAGGCGTCCGGTATGCGGGGGTCCACTGTACTTTGCATTTTTTTTTTTTTTTTTTAACAAGTCGGTCGTCTCCCACCGAGGCAGGGTGACCCAAAAAAGAAAGAAAATCCCCAAAAAGAAAATACTTTCATCATCATTCAACACATTATCACTGCTTTTGCAGAGGTGCTCAGAATACAACAGTTTAGAAGCATATACGTATAAAGATACACAACATATCCCTCCAAACTGCCAATATCCCAAACCCCTCCTTTAAAGTGCAGACATTGTACTTCCCATTTCCAGGACTTAAGTCCGACTATATGAAAATAACTGGTTTCCCTGAATCCCTTCACTAAATATTACCCTGCTCACACTCCAACAGATCGTCAGGTCCCAAGTATCATTCGTCTCCATTCACTCCTATCTAACATGCTCGTGCACACTTGCTGGAAGTCCAAGCCCCTCGCCCACAAAACCTCCTTTACCCCCTCTTTCCAACCCTTTCGGGGAAACGACCCCTACCCCTCTTTCCTTCCCCTATAGATTTATATGCTTTCCATGTCATTCTACTTTGATCCATTCTCTCTAAATGGCCAAACCACCTCAACAACCCCTCTTCTGCTCTCTGACTAATGCTTTTATTAACTCCACACCCTTCTCCTAATTTCCACACTCCGAATTTTCTGCATAATATTTACACCACACATGCCTTAGACAGGGCATCTCCACTGCCTCCAACCGTCTCCTCGCTGCTGCATTTACCACCCCAAACTTCACATCCATATAAGAGTGTTGGTACTACTATACTTTCATACATTCCCTTCTTTGCCTCCATAGATAACGTTTTTTGACTCCACATATACCTCAACGCACCACTCGCCTTTTTTCCCTCATCAATTCTATGATTAACCTCATCCATTCATAAATCCATCCGCCGACACGTCAACTCCCAAGTATCTGAAAACATTCACTTCTTCCATAAATCTCCTCCCCAATTTGATATCCAATTTTTCTTTATCTAAATCATTTGATACGCTCATCACCATACTCTTTTCTATGTTCACTTTCAACTTTCTACCTTTACACACATTCTCAAACTCATCCACTAACCTTTGCAATTTTTCTTTAGAATCTCCCATAAGCACAGTATCATCAGCAAAAAGTAACTGTGTCAATTCCCATTTTGAATTTGATATCCCCATAATTTAATCCCACCCCTCTCCCGAACACCCTAGCATTTACTTCTTTTACAACCCCATCTATAAATATATTAAACAACCATGGTGACATTACACATCCCTGTCTAAGACCTACTTTTACCGGGAAGTATTCTCCCTCTCTTCTACACACCCTAACCTGAGCCTCACTATCCTCATAAAAGCTCTTTACAGCATTTAGTAACTTACCAGCTATTCCATATACTTGCAACATCTGCCACATTTTCTCCTCTATCCACTCTATCATATGCCTTTTCTAAATCCATAAATGCAATAAAAACTTCCCTACCTTTATCTAAATACTGTTCACATATATGCTTCAATGTAAACACTTGATCTACACATCCCCTACCCACTCTGAAGCCTCCTTGCTCATCCGCAATTCTACATTCTGTCTTACCTCTAATTCTTTCAATTATAACTCTACCGTATACTTTTCCTGGTATACTCAGTAAACTTATTCCTCTATAATTTTTACAATCTCTTTTGTCCCCTTTCCCTTTATATAAAGGGACTATACATGCTCTCTGCCAATCCCTAGGTACCTTCCCCTCTTTCATACATTTATTAAACAAAAGTACCAACCACTCCAAAAACTATATCCCCCTGCTTTTAACATTTCTGTCATGATCCCATCAGTTCCAGCTGCTTTACCCCCTTTCATTATACGTAATGCCTCACGTACCTCCACCACACTTACATTCTGCTCTTCTTCACTCCTAAAATATGGTATACCTCCCTGGCCAGTGCATGAAATTACCACCTCCCTTTCTTCCTCAACATTTAAAAGTTCCTCAAAATTTTCTCGCCATCTACCTAATACCTCCCTCTCCCCATCTGCTAACTCCCCTACTCTGTTTTTAACTGACAAATCCATACTTTCCCTAGGCTTTCTTAACTTGTTTAACTCACTCCAAAATTTTTTTCTTATTTTCATTAAAATTTCTTGACAGTGCCTCTCCCACTCTTCATCTGCTCTCCTTTTGCATTCTCTCACCATTTCTCTCACCTTTCTTTTACTCTCCATAATACTTCCCCTTCTTAAAAACACTTCTGCTTTGTAAAAACCCTCGTAAGCTACCTTTTTCTCTTTTATCCAACCCTTTACTTCATCATTCCACCAATCACTCCCCCCTTTCCTCCTGCCCCCCCCCTCCTATAACCACAACTTTTGCCCCACATTCTAATACTGCATTTTTAAACTATTCCAACCCTCTTCAACCCCCCATACTCATCTTTGCACTAGCCCACCTTTCTGCCAATAGTCGCTTATATCTCGCCCGAACCTCCTCCTCCCTTAGTTTATACACTTTCACCTCCCTCTTACTTGTTGTTGCCACCTTCCTCTTTTCCCATCTACCTCTTACTCTAACTGTAGCTACAACTAAATAATGATCCGATATATCAGTTGCCCCTCTATAAACATGTACATCCTGGAGCCTACCCATCAACCTTTTATCCACCAATACATAATCTAACAAACTACTTTCATTACATGCTACATTTGCATATACTTTGCATATATGTACTGTATATGTATTTGTGATGCCGATTCCGAATACTGTACATATATCAATTTTTCTCTATCATGTAAGATTTCTTCACAGCATGATGTAGACCTTTACTTGGTGTATGCATAAAATAATATATTATCACAAAGAATGCACTCCTTTGCTTCATAGGCCAAAAATAGCGCAAAAAATTCTTTGTCTTGAATATAACTGTTATGGCTTTCATAATCTTATAAATGTTGCATAACTCTTAGCCAGGTCTGAGATTCTAGGCAAGTCTTATTCTAAAATTAAAAAAAAACTTAAATTATCATACCTAATGTGCAGTAATATATAAATTTTTGAATTCATGCATTATACCATGTTATTGTGTGTGAATATGTAATGGTATGAACCTCTCTCTCAACAGCAACGAGTTTTGTTTTATATGGCTCTTCTTGTAAGAGGAGAGAAAGCAGTTCAAAATCCAAAACTAATACCTCTCTTTTTGGTAAGTTAAGTTATGAATCTCAACTTCTAGATCAGAATGAGAAAATAGAACAGATTGTATTAAATTAATTAATAGATACCAGCTTAAAGTAAAAAATCCTTGGATGTTGTGAGGTGCTACATTTATATATTTGATTTACACAACTGAAGTGAATACTACTACTGGACTATTAACTATTACAGGGAAAGTTAAATAAAGATGAGATAGTTGCAGATGAGTAGTAACTGAAGGTAGCACTGTACATTTTTATATGATAACCCATTGATGACTGAAAGGTTTCCAAGAACAGATATCAAAGATTTATGTAGACGTGAAATACATGTGTCTTTATACAAACCTGACATAGGACTACTCTTTATTGTAGACAGTATTCAGTTGAGACAAGCTTTATTAAGCCAATAGTAGGAGCATGAAAACATGAGCTTATATATTCCATGGCAGCTGGGAAGAGGAGAAATAAGGTGAGGTACAGCATTAATTGGGCCTCGTTGCATTATATGTACTGGTGTGACTGTCCAGTTGTAATTTTACTAGAGGTGAAACAATGTTGAATGTTCCTTGTTTCTTTTTTATGGTGTTGAACCTCTGAATTGCTACAGCCTCTTAAGTATTTCCTTCTGTACAGTAGAAGTTTTCTTTTTTTTATGGCAAACATGGTGTTATTCCAAGCCATGATGTTGATATGTTTATCACTGTGGATCATAGATGCATTGTTAGAACAGTATTATATGTTCTTGAGTAAATGTCTCATGATGTTTCACACACAGTACATAAAACATAAAATACACTTGATGAGTAAGACACCTGTGCAACACCAAAGTACCTTTATTGCAGGATGTTTTGCCTGGACAGCAGGCTTCATCACTTGAATACAAGGATATCTTGGTGCAGGGAAAGTCTTCTACAACGGTTCATAACAAGTGTTTAGCATGACCTACTTCCACTAGTGGTCCAAGCTCATCTGTGACATCATCTTTAGCCACACCTCACTTTCAGTTTGAGCATGTAAGTCTCCAGTCACATCCCTCCACCTTAGGTTAAGAGACTGAACATTTTAGTCAGGGCTAAGGGAATTATTACCACAAAATTTCTTTTTCACTTCTACTGTCTCCAGGATTGTTATCACTTCTGTATTCAACTGCTGAAGCTTGCTACACAAGCAAAACATGTTTTGATGAATGGTTTGAAAAAACCGACAAGTTGAAGATTGAGACACTTATGCAAAATATGGGAATCTTTATTCAGAAACGTTTCGCCACACAGTGGCTTCATCAGTCCCCAAAACAAAGTAGAAAAGGGGTAAGGAGAGGGGGAGTTTGAGGTAATCAGTCCTCAAACTCCTCCTCTCCTTACGCCTTTCTACTTTGTATTGGACTGATGAAGCCACTGTGTGGCGAAACGTTTCCTGAATAAAGATTCCCATATGTTGCATAAGTGTCTCAATCTTCAAAACATGTTTTAATGAAGATACATAAGTGTTACTCAGGTGTCTTAATCCTACACTTGTAGGTATTGTATACCATTTATAACATGATAAATACACTGGACACACACATCAACAATGAATGTGTAGTATACCACAACAAACATACCTTTATCATGGCTTCAAACAATACCAAATTAGTTATAAACAAAGAAGAGACACAGAAGACAATACTTTTAAGTACTGTAGCAATCTGGGATTTAGACACCATAAAAAGTATTGAGAGCTTTTGTTTAACTAAATAAAACTCTACTCAATTGAAACAATGTCTACAAGAAAGGCTAGTTCTTATGTAGTACTTTTATTCACATCTCTGTCAACAGTCCTTGCCAAACATCCATTATCAAATACATGTCTCCATGCTTACATACTCTACTCTGTTCCCACAGAACACATGGCCACGTCTAGCTTGTCTCCAACACATTTATTGTGCCTGCCAAGAAGTTCTTGCTGTTAAATTTAAAGTTTAAAAGATGGTGAAAATTTAATTTATTTTCCAATTGCCAAACCAAGTGATTCTCATTTTTAAGCACAGTAATTAAATATAAATATGTATGTCCTATAATAGGACCTAGTCACCTCTGTTAGATATGTATCTACGTTAACAGCTAATGGTGTCAGGGACCAGTCTGACCAGTCCTCCTCTTCACAAATGTTGTGTATTAGCCGTTGAGGGGAAATAATTTGCACAGTGAACCTATATTAGGTATAGATGTTTATAGGCCTATGTATGTGTACACTGACCTCCAACAACATAACTATAACATTTAATTTTATATAATTTTATTATATTTAAATGTTTACCAGCACTGTAGTGAAAATTGAGTTGAAGATTCCTCTAAATAGTTCATTATTATAATGCTCATTTTTCTGTACAGTACCTGTAGTATATTATTTCAGTTCATTTAATGTTTTGATTATTCTTAGCATGTTTGCTAAATTTTGTTAAATATGTTTTTAATAAAGAGTTGAGTAGTGAATGATAAAATGCAGAAGTACAATAAAGATACATAGCTGTACTGAATGAAGTTGGTCCTGAATGGAGTTGTAATAAATTACTCTGGGTGAAAATAAGATGCACAATGCAAACACTAGGGCATTTTATTGGAAATGTTTCAGTCATGGGACCTTGGTCACTCCAAATGTTTCCAATAAAATATCCTATTGTTTACATTTTGTACATATACTACTGTTATTTCCATAAATTATTCTCTGGTGTATAATATTTTATTCGTTGCTCATATTACTTAGATGAAGAATCAGAATGTGATTATTCATCTTTACAAACAGTGTGCATTACAATAATTTATTATAAATAATTCAGTACAGTATTATTATTTTTTTAACGTGTTGCTTGTCTCCCATTGAGGCAGGGTGACCCAAAAAAGAAACACTTTCACTATCATTCACACATAATCACTCCAAACAGTATTATTATTATTATATTTATAGGGGGAGTTCTAAACCTCTAGGGATCACAGCACCAAGAGAAATAGGAGGCATTTAGATTCAAGGAAGGGAATAGCAGGTCCACTTTATTGGATAAAGATCCCCTTAACAGCATTAATCCCCTTATGGGGATTAATGCTGTTAATCACTGTTTTTGCAGAGGTGCTCAGAATACAACAGTTTAGAAGCATATACGTATAAAGATACACAACATATCCCTCCAAACTGCCAATATCCCAAACCCCTCCTTTAAAGTGCAGGCATTGTACTTCCCATTTCCAGGACTCGACTCCAACTATATAAAAATAACTGGTTTCCCTGAATCCCTTCACTAAATATTACCCTGCTCACACTCCAACAGCTCGTCAGGTCCCAAGTACCATTCGTGTCCATTCACTCCTATCTAACATGCTTATGCATGCTTGCTAGAAGTCCAAGCCCCTCGCCCACAAAGCCTCCTTTACCCTCCCTCTCCAACCTATAGATTTATATGCTTTCCATGTCATTCTACTTTGATCCATTCTCTTTAAATGACCAAACCACCTCAACAACTCCTCTTCAGCCCTCTGACTATTACTTTTATTAACTCCACACCTTCTCCTAATTTCCACACTCCAAATTTTCTGCATAATATTTACACCACACAATGCCCTTAAACAGGACATCTCCATTGCCTCCAACCGTCTTCTCGCTCCTGCATTTACCACCCAAGCTTCAAACCCATATAAAAGTGTTGGTACCACTATACTTTCATACATTCCCTTCTTTGCCTCCATAGATAACGTTCTTTGTCTCCACATATACCTCAATGCACCACTCACCTTTTTTCCTTCATCAATTCTATGATTAACCTCATCCTTCATAAATCCATCCGCTAACACGTCAACTCCCAAATATCTGAAAATATTCACTTCCTCCTCTCCAATATGATATCCAATTTTTCTTTATCTAAATCATTTGATACCCTCATCACCTTACTCTTTTCTATGTTCACTTTCAACTTTCTACTGTTACACACTCTCCCAAACTCATCCACTAACCTTTGCAATTTTTCTTTAGAATCTCCCATAAGCACAGTATCATCAGCAAAAGCAACTGTGTCAATTCCCATTTTGTATTTGATTCCCCATAATTTAATCCAACCCCTCTCCCGAACGCCCCAGCATTTACTTCTTTTACAACCCCATCTATATATATATATTAAACAACCATGGTGACATTACACATCCCTGTCTAGACCTACTTTTACCGGGAAGTAGTCTTCCTCTCTTCTACACACCCTAACCTTAGCCTCACTATCCTCATAAAAACTCTTTACAGCATTTAGTAACTTACCACCTATTCCATATAGTTGCAACATCTGCCATATTGCTCCCCTATCCACTCTATCATATGCCTTTTCTAAGTCCATAAACACAATAAAAACTTCCCTACCTTCATCTACCTTTATCCGCACTCCCATATTCTGTCTTACCTCTAATTCTTTCAATAATAACCCTACCGTACACTTTTCCTGGTATACTCAGTAAACTAATTCCTCTAAAATTTTTACAATATCTCTTGTCCCCCTTCCCTTTATATAAAGGGACTATACATGCTCTCTGCCAGTCCCTAGGTACCTTCCCCTCTTTCATACATTTATTAAACAAAAGTACCAACCACTCCAACACTATATCCCCCCTGCTTTTAACATTTCTGTCATGATCCCGTCAGTTCCAGCCTCTTTACCCCCTTTCATTCTACGTAATGCTTCACGTACCTCCCCTACACTTACATTCTGCTCTTCTTCACTCCTTCAAGATGGTATACCTCCCTGGCCAGTGCATGAAATTACTGCCTCCCTTTCTTCGTCGACATTTAAAAGTTCCTCAAAATATTCTCGCCATCTACATAATACCTCCATTTCCCCATCTACTAACTCCCCTACTCTGTTTTTAACTGACAAATCCATTCGTTTCCTAGGCTTTCTTAACTTGTTTAGCTCCAAATTTTTTTCTTATTTTTATTAAAATTTCTTGACAGTGCCTCTCCCACTCTATCACCTGCTCTCCTTTTGCACTCTCTCGTCACTCTCTTCACCTTTCTTTTACTCTCCATATACGTACTCTGCTCTTCTTATAACACTTCTGCTTTGTAAAAACCTCTCATAAGCTACCTTTTTCTCTCTTATTACACCCTTTACTTCATCATTCCACGAATCACTCCTCTTTCCTCCTGCACCCACCCTCTCATAACCACTTCTTCTGCCCCACATTCTAATACTGCATTTTTTAATTTTATATATATTTTTTATATTATATTATATATTTTATTTTTTTTCAACAAACCAGCTGTATCCCACTGAGGCAGGATGACTTAAAAAGGAAAACAAAGATTTTCTTTTTAAATTTAGTAATTTATACAGGAGAAGGGGTTACTAGCCTCTTGCTCCCAGTAATTTAGTTGCCTCTTATGACACACATGATAAAAAGACAGACATACAAGTCAGGCCAGTGTGGGGAAAACAAATATTGTTACCATATACAGTATTGTACACTTATCTCAGTTCCAAGGGAAATTTCCCAGTTAAATTTTGATATTGCTCACAAGAAATTCAACAAACCTTCCAAAATGTATTATTATTATAAGCACGGGGGAGCGCTAAACCTGTAGGATTATACAGCGCATGTGGGGGGGGGGATGGAAGGTATTCAGGCTCATTTCAGGGAACTGGAGCACAGATCCAATTCCCTAAATCAAGAACCCCTCACCAGCATCAAGGAACCTCCCTTGAGGGGGTTCCAAAATATAAATGTAATGTAATGTATCCAAGTAGCAATAATTTATCCTCATTATGCCCTGTTATGGCACTTCAACTATAATAATTAAATACGTTTTCTACATTAATAGATTCTTTGAGTGTAAAAGTAAAATTGGTGCATTTATGGGTATTCACTTCACAGTACATCTTACCTGATAATTTTATTATTTACTAGATTATTATTTTCTAGGATGTGTGTATGGTAAAAAAAAAAAAATTAAAATTGTTAAAATACAGATGGTCATGACCAGGATTTTTAAAGGTTATCCTAGTATGTTATAGAATGATGTAAAAAATAATGTGTAGTGATGATAAACAGTCTAGCATTATTTTAAAATGAAACAGATTACTGGAGTACAGAATTATTAACCTTAATATTTATGAAGCCTAACACTTTGTAACTTAGGTCAGTAGCATTTTGCAAAAATATAAAAGATTTGCTGCAGGGCATACTGCTTGAATGATGCTACAACCAAGCCCCAATAACATATCAG